AGTGGCCCCGAAAGATTTATCAAATGTATCTTAGATTTCTATTTAAAAAGACAACTCTTGATTCTCGCCCACTAAATCTAAGCTATAGTGTTAGACCTACTGAGAAACATAAGCCAAATTATTCTAACTTATAAGCCTTCACAAATTTAATCAATCTTCACTGTCCATACCTTCATTCTCCTTTGACCAGTATAATGGAGCATGATTATTTCTCTGGATAACATTCTGATGCATCCGATCAAGTTCAACCAAGTACTTTTCACATGGATCTAAAGCCGTTGATTCTTGATTCATAGTCGGTTTAGCTTCGATTGAAATTCCGTTGGATCTGACTGGGGGTGTAGAATCTACTGACTCAGATATAACAGGCAACGGAGAGCAATGAGCCTGGTTCTCATCCGAAGCATCACATTGATCTGAATCTGAGCTCGAGTGCTAAAAATAATTTTAAAATAATTCTAGTTTTTCATTGTGATTGACTAAATCGTTACGAGTAGTTGGGCCGTATAAAATAATAAAAAGATATCTCATTCATTAGGCTGAAATATTAGGGCTTGGAAACGTTTGAATAAAAGTATAGGTAAACTACAAGCCGTACAGCAATAAAACTAGATAAAACAAAAAAAGCTGAGTCATATTAGATTAATCCTTTTCTAAAGATAAAACGAAAGATATTGGGTAAAAAGTGAAAAATCAATAGCGGTAATCAAGTTATTAATTAAGTGATAATAGCTGATAATCCATAAACACAATAAACAAAAGCTGTGATGCATTATATTCACTTAAAATAGGAAAAATTATAATGAAACATCTTTTGCTGTTGCAAAAACTCACATCTATATCATTTGGTTTTGAAACTTTCTCTTTAATTATTTGGTCAGCTGCCAAAATGTTTCGCCATCCCGATTCGCGACATTTATTAATCATTTCATGCTAAAAACATAGTTCCCGAATTTTATTATCGAATACTAACAATAATTAGTCTTAAGAGACAAGAGAAAATAGATTATGCTACTCACCCTTTTTCTTTCAGCTAATTCCAATTGTCGCTTCCTATGTAACTCCTCTATTCGTTCTCTTTGACGCATAGCCTCGCCAGGTCGTATCATAATTTTGTTGCGGGCTTCAAATCCTTGCATTCGCTTAATTATTGGAAAGGGATTTTGAAAAATATTTCCACCTCCTGCATTTCTGAAAGGAGAATGAGGATCTGCCGCAGGGCCAAAAATATGCTGATTGCGCTCAAGAGCGCTTCTACATTTTTAAAGTTTTAAAAGAGAAAAATGACAATAAAATTCTATAATTAGCACTTTTTTGCTTGCGTTTAAACTAACTTTTCCTTAACAACTCTCTTTATCGCAGACATAGGCATATTGCGTATAGATGGATTGCTGTTTCGCACCCGTTTTGCGCCGGCGAGCAAAGGATTGACTCTTCTATGGGCTAATGCGCTACGTCCAACACGTGTTTGTGGAGAAAATTCTGAGTGAAGCTCCTATATGTAGCTTTGTGGGTTAATGTAGTATTTTACCTCTTCAGTGAGAAATCTTCCTACACGCTTGAAAATAAAGGGCCTTTTTAAGACGGCTGTTATATTTGGCCTCTCTCTGAAAGTATAGTAAATAGGAGTAATTACAAAGTTTACTGTGGATTTCTTCTGAATAACTGAGAAATAAGATTTCGTAGTTCATATGAGTATACTGCAGATACTGATGGATAGTTCCCCCTTATTGAATTAAAATAAAGCGTACCTACCGAATGATTTTAAATACAAGATTTTTCATATTCCCTGCTTCAAACTAATTCTATATTAAAATTGCACAAACAAACCGCATGTTTAAGAGTTGCCATTTCATACAAAACGCATCCAAGGGCCCAAATATCACTTTTATTGTTGTAAGGCTTATTTTCGCAAATCTCAGGAGATAAATAATAAGGTGTTCCGATACATGTTCGGGCTAAATCTAAGGTGCTATTAAGGACTTTGGCAATACCAAAGTCACCAAGCTTTATTCTATCATCTTTAGTCAAAAATATGTTCTTATATTTGGTCAAAAAGCCAAAATGATATATACTTGGGACTTGATGTCACGATGTAAGATCATCCTGTCATGAATATGCTTTAATCCGAGAGAAATTTGAACAAAATAGTCCATAACCTGGCTTTACAATTAAGTAAGTTTATACCTGATCCTCAGAAAAAAGAATACCTTTTTGCGCATTTATCTTGGAATATAAGTCACCTCCATTGCAATATTCCATCACAATATGCAAACAACCATTCTCTTCTCAAATAAATTGTATATTAAAGCATTAACCTTCAAAAGATACACAGTACTTTACTATATTTGGGTGGTACATTTTGGCCAGAAGCGAAACCTAGTTTAGTAAGCATATTAATTAGATGCATGCCTCTTTTCCGGCTTCAATTCTTTCTCTAGTTGACATCTATTTTACATAATTAAAGAAAAAATATACCTTGCTAATGTTTATTTCTTTTATAACTCTTTGCATTTTCTCTTCTTTAGAATGAACTAGCCATGCTTTCCCAAAAGCCCCTTCACCAATCATTTTTATCTTTCCATATGCCTCTAAATTTGTCATATTCCAGCACTTTTAGCGATAGATTAAAAATATTTAAGTAAGATTGTGCATATAACGAGACTTTTTTATTATTTCAATCATAAACTGATTACAACAATAGCATAGCAACCAGCTTCTAAACAAGCGGGTTTACATGCAAAAAGATTAAAACCCTATTCATGTGTAAACTCAATCCATAAACAATTATTTATCAAAAAATAAAATTACATAATAATTATTTTTATTTAATTTTTTTATATTTATTATTTAAATAGATGTAATTGCATTTTTGTAATTAAAACAATATTTTAGGGATATATAATAGGAATATATTAGGGAGCTGGCAGTGGGTTTTATAAGAGTCGTGGTCCATGTAGCAAAGGCATGACCATGAGCATATTCTGAGGCTTTAGCCTCTAATCAATCACCCAGGCGCAGGTGATGGACGAATTACGCCTATAATAAGGGGGTCGAGTGAAATAGATGTACAAGGGAGATAGCAGACGGATTCTATGGGGCAAGAGGGAGACTTTGATAGGACCCAGGAAAGGACTACGTAACAATATGACAAAATCTGGTCAAC